TTTTTTAATTAATTATAGTTAATTATGATTAATTAATTGTATGTATTATAAGTAAAAGTATCTAAATTAAGTGTGATTAATTATACATTAAATGATTAAATTATAGTTAATTTATCATTAATTATAAATTAAGTACACTTAAATTTAATTAATTCATTGAACTAAAATATAAATGAATTATAATTAAATATAATTATTATATTTTTTAGAATTAAATTATAAATCATATTGCTCCCCCTCCACCTCTTTCCTCGGCGTTCGTGTCGGAACGGCAAACCACCTAAGCACGTAGGCCTTTGTGGCCGTGGTAGAAAGGAATCTACCGGTGCGACACCATACGACGAGCGTAGGCGAGTGACCCCGTCGATCCATGGTGTCACCACGGTCAAGCCCTGGCGGAGGTATGAATCTTTCTAACTCTAAACCCTACTTTCAATATCTTGGCAATCGGAGAAACTGCCCTAAAGAGCGAGGCTTTTGTTGGCCGTGAGGATGGACCCCGTCGGCACGTGTGGTTTGTCCCCTTAGACAAACATCCATCCCAGGTCTACAAGCTCCCCTTGGACGAAGCAACCCATGGCTGCCGAATTCCAATCCATATTCATTGCTGCTACTATATGCCAGATAACACATATTTCTACGTATTTGATTGACGACTAGCCTTAATCGAAAGTTCTCTCTCTTTATTGGGAAGGGTAATTAACTATAGGGGCTTGCGCCTATAGGAAAACAGAACTCAGATCATAAAGTCCTCATAAAGTGAGGGCGAAATCTCTGGGTAGTGTCTTATCTACAAACCCATCTGCCTTGCAAAATTTACCCCGGAACTTAGTTCGTTAAAACTCCCTCGCCGAATAAGAAAAGCGAGTGGAGGCCGGGGCCGAATTTTCGGAGCCCACAAACAGTTTGTGCATTAATTTCCTTGAACACGATTACTAATCAAAACTTCGTAGACATTCAGGAAGAGAAAAAAAAATGCAAGACAACCAAGGATGGAAAGAACATAAACCTAAAGGTAATTATTGCAACACCATTTCTCTGATGTCTTCATAAATACCATGCAACCCTAAATTATTGTCATCTAACCACAAAATCGTATATTAAATCATTGGATTAGAAAATGCAACTTGGTCTTATTTTTTCTGAAGTAGGAAAGATGTTTAATGCTCCAGTTTGTTTTTCCACCTTTGGAATTCAACCAAAACACAATAAATTAATTGCCTTTTGCCCCATTTCCTGAAAACTCTAAATTGTTTCCTTGCTTTCGCTCACAGAGAACTCTCCTTGATCTCTAAAATATGCTAGTCATACATGGCAAAGGTGCATCTATTATTAAAAGAAATAGAAATAATTTTCCCACGCAAGCACGTCAGGGCCAAGGTAAGACATGATGGAGCATGGCTATCAGTTTTTGGCATTTTTTCCATGGGTATATAAGACTTCAATGTTAAAGATGCATTAATATATGTCAAAGGATTTGTTAATTATGATTAATTAGTTAAGAAATTAAGAGAATATGATTTTATCTTTACTTTTCAGATTAGATTTTAGTTAAAAAAAAGAATTCTACAAAATGAGTATATAGAATTATACAAAATGAGTATATATATATCATATTCAACTCGTTTTATATTTTCACAAACTCCTGTACCAATGTTTGTTTGTGTCATGACAGTGCACTTGTTTTAGTGCCACTGCACTCTAACCAAGTGTCATAAAAACAGCAAAGTCGGTACATTCATGAATAAAAACAAAGGCAAAGTCCGCGTACCCTTTTCATATCAAATGTGGCTTGGACAATCCTTGTCGTCCTCTAAACTAGAAAATTGAGATGAGTGCTCAGATATGTCAACCTAATTGAATTGGTTTTGGGTTTCAACTTTCAAGGAAATGTAGTAAAATTAAGAGCTCTCTCTGAACACCTTAACGGTCTCATTTGAGAGAGGGCAGTCTTCTTAGATGCCATGCAAAAATGGCAGGAGTTGGTTAGAATTCTCAGTTGAGGAAGCTTGCTCGGTTAGACCTTAAATCATGTATTTCAGTACTGCAAAAGGAGAGGAGTTTAAGGAATTATAAATCAAACTTCCAAATGAGTAAGTGTGCATAACCCATATGATATTGGGAAGGTGTCGATGAACATATATAAAATATTTTTATAATCTAAAGAGAAAATATCAAAAGAATGCCATCTTCTATTATACAAGAATGGAACATTCTTATAGAAGCCTGAACTGATCAAATGACATACGAGGCTCGTAAGGTATCAGCGCCTTAATGCCAATCCTAAGACCAAGCCAGATTATTTGATATACCATTTTCTCATTTTCAAGGATTTGGCCATATCAGGGCAGCATTACAGCCTACTTCGAAGGCTATTCAAAGGAGATCAACCACATGGGGAGGATGGTAGGGTTGCTTATGGCATGCTTCTCCTCAAAAAAAAAAGGATTTTTTTTCCATATTTAACATTTTTAATGATTTAATAAGAATATTTCTCCATTTTTTTATTTTCAGAAATTGAACCCCAAACCTCCCTTTGGAGATGAGGGGCAACGCCACAGTCGCCACTAGGCCACATGCCCATTGATTTTATAAAAGTATTCCCCTTCTATGTATAGAATTATAGGACCTTTCTTATTAAGCTATTGGGTCTTTTCTCTATAGTTTAAAGGAATTCAATATAAATTATTTAAGTTTCCACTTAAATATGTATAAGTATTTTAGTTTTGTAATTTTTTTAGTTTTCATTGAGTTAACATTTTTATCTTAAATAAAACATGCCAATGTTGTTCCCTACTATAAGTATCAGTTTGTATTCACTGAATTTTATGATTATGATTTGTTGGCCATTGGATTGTTGCTAATGATGATGGAGTTCCTACCCTATTATTAGTTTACCCTTGGCTTCACTGTCTGATGTGACTATTTAGAAAGGAAATTGGTTGGTGACTCAATAGTCCCTATTGAAGAAATTTTGTCATATTTTATGATCAAGCACGGTATATATGTAGGAAAATTTTTTCCATCCTCAACGGATTGCATATTTTGTGATCGAGCACGGCATAGAAAATGATATATTGTTCTTAATGGAAAAAATATCATTTCCCTATGGATTCAATAACAAAATTTACAATTTTCATTTTTAACACAAATTTTTCCCTATTAAATATTTGGTTGAATGGGGTTTATGTTATTTTGGGGTACGGATATTCCATAGGGGTAAGCCCCTATGGTTAACTACAGCTCAAGCATTTGGTACTTGAAAAAACTTTTGATTAGACTAATAGTTTTTTTTCTTTTGAAAATCATCAAAACATTGGCTAAAGTTTTCATTTTGAAATTTATGAAATTCTTGTTTAAAAATTGTCTTTAGGAATTTCGAAGAAAGGGGATCAACTTAGAATGGAGTTCTTGTAATGAAAGTCAAAAAGAGAGAGTAAGAGTACTTGATTCTGAGAGAAAACTCAAAGGTACTCAAAATAATCTTATATTAGGCATTACATTTTAGAATTCAATTTTTGTTTAAGTTGATCATTTTAATTTAGAATATTAGGGCTTATATTCCAAAAAACATATGATGGAGAAAATACCAGGAATGTGAGGACTTATGATGTGATTGAAATCGACATCTGCCTCGGATCTTAGGATGAAGGTGAGGACTATTGAGAGGTAGTGCTTCGAACCTAAGTCTAACGGAATGCACGAGACTTACAAACTACATCTCACATGAGGCATAGCTAGCCCGACCTCTAGATTTATTTCCTTACCTGGAAAGGACTACCAGCTAACCCACATAGTCACTTTTAAATATATGACATCCAGTCTCAATATATATGAAGAGTGAGGAGGTTATTTGTTTAGAGGATATGGCTTACATCTTGACTTTGAGGCCAAGATACATGAGTATGAATGGTATGCAAAATGTTGACTCACAAATACATAATTTTTTATTATCTGACTCACAAATGCTTGTTTGAGCACTATAATTCAAAATGAAGCTTAGTGCTTTCCTGCGACTTCGGAGGCTTCTAATATTGATGCCTCAATGATATTTAAAGCATCTTTATATATGGTGGGAAGGATTCTAAGTGTAGGGTCTAAAAGAACCACTTTCATAGTTCCTTAGGGAGCAATTAAATTTTTGAGAATTATCTCAAGGTCAACTGATCCAATGAAATGGTAACTATATTAAGCACCCTCTTTATTACTGGATGGATTACATTGGGAGGCTGAAAACAATTAACAATTTCAAGTGGAGTGGGTATTCCCACTCTGTGCAAACTCTCTTATGGCTAATACTAAGTCATTCTCACCTTTTTTTTAGTTCCCCATTTTCCATGTAGCTGAGAAATTTACCTTCCCTTGGGAATTTTTCCCTTTTTGAACCCACTTTACAACAAATTAGCCATGCCTCGTCATATATATGCCAAAAAGCTATTAAAATATTTCACTTCATGATTACCTAAATCTTGGTTTATACCATATGGCGAGAAAGAAACAATAACATTTAATAACAAGAAATTAATTTTTTTAGAATTATGTAAAGGTCAACTGATCAAGTGAATATATGGTTCAAGGGTGACTCTATTAAATATTCCCTTTGTTGTTGGATGGATTATAACAAGGGACTGAAAACAACTGGTAATTTTGAAGCTCGTGGATTGGGTATCCCCACTTTGTGCAAAACTCATGTTGTGTGAAAGACACAACAGTGCGTAACAACAAACACACTTCCTTGACTAGTTGATGCAACCAAATTTTTAGGAAACTAAGGTTGCAAAAGCTAAACGTCTTCCTTTCGAAATGACAACAATTAGGCCATGCACCAGTTTGAATAACCCATTAACCCTCCGTTACCCAGATTGTTTAAAAATGATGCATTCGACCATAAAATCAACGAAAAATTTAGTTGATAACTACCAGATTTGATCCGGGGTTAAGTAAATGAGGAAGAGAGAGTCACCTCCATGAAGAAGGGGCGGAGCTCTTTGACGATAGCGCGAACCTTGACGTACTCGGAGTTGTGGAATCCGCCATTGTCAGGCTTCCTCTTGTTATCGGAGGCATTAGCGGCAGCGGCAATGGGTTCCGCTCCTTCCTGATTCGAGGGATTCGGCTTCCGTTCCCGAGCTTCCTGGCCTTGCCGAGAAGCAACGGTCGGTTCTTCCATTTTACAAGTCGTGCGAGAACGAGACTAAAGAAACGGAGGCGAGGGAATTAAATGGCAATTTATAAATTATAAGCCCATTTCCGCCGACTTAAAAAATATTAATATTTTGTTATTTGACAAAAAAAAATTGGGAGCAACATCACATGAGATAACCGGGATAGGGAAAAATGAAATTAATTTTATGTGCTTGATAATATAAGTAATTGAATAAATATTTTTTATGTTTACTTTTTTTAGAAATATACTTTAATGTTATTTCTGTTAAAATTGTTCATATTTATTTTCAATTCAAATCAATTTCATTGGTAGAAGACCACAATAAGTAGGGCATGAATAAATTATAAGCTTATTTTCTCGGGGAAAAAATCCAATATATTTTTTCAATTACATAAATAATATAGATATTTGACTAATTGATACTATTATTAAGCATATAAATTCGAATTTCTCAAAGACCCTCAAACCCTAGGTTTCTCTCTCCTCTCTCCTCCCTTTTCTTCTCAAATTGCTTATTCTATTCTCTATTAAATGAAATGAGAAGAAAAAAATGACATATAAGCATTCTTTAAGTGTTCAAAGATTTTTGTAATAAAGTATATTAAGGATACAAATGTAATTATATAATTTGTTTAGTTTTAAGTTTAAAATTTATTTAAATCTTTAAATTCAGGATAGAAAAAATTATATAAAAATATTCATAAAATAATATAGCATGTTTAGTATCTGGTGAAAACGGTTTGCAAAACGAAAGTTTAAAGGTCCCAAGTAACTCATTTTTACCAACATATATTAATTTATTAAAAAAATTTAATTAAATAATAAACTTCTTATTTTCATATCTACAATGCCTATAAAATTAGGAGAAAAGTATTATCATTTAAGCACAACATGCAGTATCTCTATTATAGCTAAAATGATTTGTAAATTGAATTTATAATAAGCCTTGAAATATTATTTGACTAGGATAAAATATGAGCTTTTAGTCTATTACATATATATAACATGATTCTATACTTATGATCAAAACTCTATTTCACTAAATAAAACCTCCCATAGATTTCTTGTGAGAAAATTACCTTAATCCTTGTTTAAATTGACATTCTTCTTTAAAAGATCAATTGGGTTTATTACAACTCAATCCATTAAAGAGAATCGTTGAACTTTAATCCGATCGGTTCAAATTTATGGTAATATCGTTGAACTTCTTATTTTCATATCTACAATGCCTATAAAATTAGGAGAAAAGTATTATCATTTAAGCACAACATGCAGTATCTCTATTATAGCTAAAATGATTTGTAAATTGAATTTATAATAAGCCTTGAAATATTATTTGACTAGGATAAAATATGAGCTTTTAGTCTATTACATATATATAACATGATTCTATACTTATGATCAAAACTCTATTTCACTAAATAAAACCTCCCATAGATTTCTTGTGAGAAAATTACCTTAATCCTTGTTTAAATTGACATTCTTCTTTAAAAGATCAATTGGGTTTATTACAACTCAATCCATTAAAGAGAATCGTTGAACTTTAATCCGATCGGTTCAAATTTATGGTAATATCACTCTGTTTGATTTTAAAAGACATTCAGAGTATTATAAATTATATTTTGGTTAATTTAGATGGTTACCTTAATTTATTCTTAGAAAAACAGAAGGAAATAATCACGTCATAATAGGAGATTTAGTGCTAAATGGCAATCTTACTAAACAGTAAAAACAAAAGAGGCAGATCATGCAGGAGCGCGATAACTTACAATCTTACATAAAACTCATGCACGATAATATTTTTGTAGAGGCAAGAACTGCAAAATTTATGAATAAGGGTAGTGCAAAATTTGCTATTATACCTCATTTAGTTACTTATAAATATAAATTATATTTTTTAAAAAATGATAATTTAAATTTCACTTACTTTAATTCTGAAAGTAAAATAATTATTTTTAAAGAAAATTTTTGAAAGTTTATAGAGTTTGAAATCAATTTGGACATTTAATTATATCCAATCAAATGAACGATAATTTCAAACAACTAAATAATTTGATGTCTTCATGAAAAATAAAAAGTGAAAGTTCATTCCTAGTGAGAGAAAAGAGAAGCTTCATATTACGTGCGGAGTCCGAACACAGAATCGTTTGGTTTTATGATTGTGAACAGCGCAGTTACTGCCTATCATTGCGCTTTTATTGTTCAACCTTGTGCTTTTACTGCTCACAGTCATAAAACTGAACGATTTTTTGTATCCACACTTTGCACGTAATAATCTCTCGAAAAACTCTACAATGTCACAAAAAAAAAATTCTCTCTTACAATACCTTCAAAGCAAGGTTATAAGTTTTGACAATTGGACCTTTTATTGACCCTAAGAAAAGAACTAATAAATTATGATTAAAGGGGGTTGAACTAATAATTATAAGGTAGAAAAAATTGCATATATAACATCATATACATACTCACAACAGTTATATATTACAGTAATAAATTAAATGAATTTATACTTTTAAGAATCAATTTTATTTTCAGAATAATACTTAAAATATACTAAACGAAATACCTTCAGAACTCATGTATTAATAATGGTATAAGTTGCTTCGTCCTCAAAGTTATTTAATGCTCGCAGTATTTTGTCCGTTTGACGATCAATAACGCGTTTGCGGCAGAGAAAAAACACTGGTCCAAATTCATCTAGAGGTCTTCATTGTCAACCGTTAAAGCCTACTTATGATGATAGTGATTTTTACTTCTTAATTTCCATTGAAGCACTATTCTTTCTCTCTCACGAGGCATTTGTTGAATTGTTTGGTGGGTGGGCACTTCTAAGAAATTCCAACACGTAAGTATGTGTGATCTTCTCCATTAACAATGCTTATTATTATTATTATTATTATTATTATTATTATTATTATTATTATTATTGATACGTCATCAAAAAATTATCTTGATCGGGCATGAATCTCGAGGCAAAATCAAGTTGGAAACTTCCGAAATTAAAATTGGGACCATCCGTACTCCGATTTTAGCAAACTTACAGTCAAATTGAACGTCTCGGAAATACGAACCCAACGACACCAAATTCACCTCAATACGAGCCCAAATGAGTCCAAATCAAGGACTAAAAGCGATGTTGGAAGGTTTGAACCACAATTTGGATTACCAAACGGTTTCCAAAGATTATGTGCTTATAGTAGAATCGAGCGGCTCAACGAGACGAATCCAACGAGCCCAAGATCACCGAATTCCAACATCACTAAAACATTCAAATGTCCATCAAACGGTCCATTATCAAGGGATTCAACATCAGTCATCCATCTGACCACTCCCCATTTTCCTTTGATCTCTCACCTATTTACGGGCCATGTCACTCCATAAATCTATAAATATACCCCTCATTTCTCTTGAAAGAGGACCGAAAGAAGGAAGAAGAGAAGGAAGAAGCTCCTCCTCGACCACTGCCGGACTTCCGCCGAACCACCACTTGAGGCCCTCACCTCCGCCGGACCACCGCCTGAAGTCATTGCTCCACTGGACCACCACTTGAGGCCCTCACCTCTGTCGGATCACCGTCTGATGACATTGCTCCGCCGGACCACTACTTGAGGCCCTCACCTCCGTCAGACCACCGCCTGAATTCGTTGCTCTGCCGGACCACCACTTGAGGCCCTCACCTCCATCGGACCACCGCATAAAGTCGTTACTCTGTCGAACTGTCACTTGAGGCCCTCACTTCCGTCGGACCACAGCCTGACGTCGTTACTCTGTCGAACCACCAATTAAGGCCCTCACTTCCGCCGAACCACCACTTGATGTCATGAGCTCTGCCAGACTACCACTTAAGACCCTCACCTCCGCCAGACCACTATTTTCCTACAACAATGGTCTTTCTAACCCCTGTCTCCTGCCAACTACAGTCTTTCGGACCTCAGTCTCTTATTTACTACGGTAATTCCGACCTTCGCCGCCTACTATAATTCTTCCGACCTCCATCACCAAACAACAATCTTTCTGACACCGGTCTTCTGCCAACTACGGTCTTTCAGACCTCTATCTCCTACTGACTACAGTCCTTCCGACCTTCGTCGCCTACTACGATTTTTCCGACCTATATCGTTAGAAAATGGTCTTTTTGACCCATGTCTCATGCAGCCTATGGTCCTTCCGACCTACATCGCCAGACAACGATCTTTTTGGCCCCCTCCTGCTGCCTATGGTCATTCCGACCTCCGTCGACTACTGCGGTCCTTCTGACCTACAATGCCAGACAACGGTCTTTCTGACCTCGATTTCTTGCATACTACAGTCCTTTCAACCTATATCACCATACAATGGTCTTTCTGACCCCTGTCTCCTGCCGACTATGGTCCTTCCGACCTACATCGCCAGACAAAGATCTTTCTGACCCCTGTTCCGCCTATGGTCCTTCCGACCTCCGTCGTCTACTACGGTCCTTCCGACCTACATCGCCAGACAACGATCTTTCTAACCTCGGTCTCCTGCATACTACGATCCCTTCGACCTACATCGCCAAACAATGATATTTCGGACCCTGATCTCCTGCCAACTACGATCTTTTGGACCCCTATCTCCTGCCGACTATGACCCTTCAAATTAAGCAAACATATATATATATATATATCCATTGAATTCTCTGTTCTGCTTGTGCTTCTACCTTGATCCTACATCATTTTTGCACTGTTGAAGTTGGTCAATATGCTCTCTCTTCTGGTAACTATCGTGCTGATGAAAAATTATTTTGTGCGGAACCCGACGGCGTCTAGAGACAAATCAGAGCGCGACACTTCACTTTTTTGTTGTGTATCGGTACTATATATCACTGTGTATCGGGTGACGCGACACTTCACTTTGTTGTTGTGTATTGGTACTATGTATCGATGTGTACCAGGTGACGTGACGTGCTCTAATTTGACCCCGGACAATTCAGTGACCGCACAAAATATTTTCTTTATGCCAATCGTAATAAAGACGTTGAAGTTTTATCTTTTAGGGATAGCCGGTTCAACTTTCGAACATTTCTAGAATATTTGAATTTAGTGGTGCATTAAAACAAGCAGCTTTGAGTTTAATTTTGACCGAATTAATTTTAGAATGATAATGGAATTTTAAAATTATTTATCAACCATACATGCTGCTATGTTTTTGATATTCTGGCTAATTTTATTAACTATTTATTCTTTTGGTTGTCCTATTTTTTCTTAAATGGTAACTTTTTTATTGGCTTAATATAATTGTCATGTTTTGGAGACTCCTATGAAGATACATAGCGTATGATATGTAAAAATTTTTAAAACATAATTAAGCTGTTCAGAAGAACGACTCGCAAAGTGATAGCATAAGAATGGGAAATATAATATCGATCCCCTCAAACAAAACTTCTTCTTCTCCGATCCTCCTCCTTTGCATTGTCCTCCTCCTCTTTCTTCTTCTTCTACTCAAAGAACAATATATTAGAATATAAGCATATTCTGTATTTATTACAACTGTTAAGTCTAGAATAATCTTAGGTTTCTTTGTAATTATAGTTAAACCAATACTGTCCTGGCTCTATATAAGAGCAGGCGTCTGTCTTCTCTAACAAGGCATGAAATACAAAAATAACGTTCTGCTTATAGATTATTCATGGTATCAGAGCTATATAACATAAAATTTAAATCCAGGTATATCTAGAAAAATCATCTACAAATATAACGTAAAATTTGAATCCTTGGCACGAAGCAGTCGGAGCCGGGCCCCAAACATCTGAATGTATAAGGGTAAGAGGTTGCGTTTGACGATGTGGTAGACTATCAAATACAAGTTTATGACACTTAGATGCTATACAAGAAGTACATGGATCTTTATATTTGGTCATATGTAAATGCGGATTACTGTGAGAAATGAAATCAAAAATGCTTTTATGAGGGTGTCCTAAACGGTGATGCTAGGTGTGAGCAGCCGATTCTGATGCTTTGAGTGCGTGATGAACTGTGGTCGGAGAAGGTATCGGAATGTTGTACAACCCGCCATTACATGGTCCTCGTAGTAAAATTTGCTGCGTCACTAGATCCTTCAACATAAAACCGGATGGGTCAAAAATAATGGAAATATTATTGTCGCGGGTTAGTTGCGAAATTGATAGTAAATTAAATTTGAGAGACGGAGTGTGAAGAATTTGCGACAAGCGCAGCTTACGAGTAGGGGTCGGAAGAATGTCCGACCCTGTATGAGCTATGTTTACCGAGTTGCCGTCGACAACCGTTATGTTATCCGATCCATGATACGGATGGGCTAGCGACATATTGTCCATGGAGTTGGTAAGATGCGAGGAGGCTCCCGAGTCCAAGAACCAAGTAGATTCTTGTGTGTCCGAGTTAGCCATCAGCGCAGTGTTAGCATTCCTGTTTGTTGGAACATATTGAGTGTTGAGACGATGCCAACACGTTTGAGCCAAGTGACCCTTCTTATAGCAAATTTGACAAAGAACAGCTGCATTCGGGTTGGGATTTGGTGCAGGTGGTGCGCCGAATTTTTCAGTTGCGTTGTTCCTGTTTGCCGAGGGTTGGTTGTAGGAATTTCGGCCTCTTGAGCGTCTTCCTCTGCCTCTATTATTGAACAGGGCCATGTTGGGATCTGGAGCCGCAGAAAATCTTGCGGCATCTAACGCGAGGTTGATTTCCTCACTAAGCAGAAGCGGGTAGATCTGATCAAGAGAGAGCGGGGCAGTGGAGGTTCTTACAGATGACTTAAAAGATTGATATATTTGAGGAAGCCCATTTAGGATATAGTGAATAATATCTTCTGGGTCGACCGATGATCCCGCTGCGGATATTTGATCCACAATTGCCTTGATTTCAGAAAGATATACCGTCATTGAGTTGTTCTTGAGTGATACATTATGCAATGCGTTCTTGAGTTGTATGACCTTAGAACGATTCGTCGCCTGAAATCTTGTTTCAAGAGCTGCCCAAATTTGAGCAGTTGAATCTAAAGCAATGACATACGGGAGAATGGAATCTGAAATTGTGGAGCAAATTGAGGCCGACATATTTTGATCTGTTAACAGCCATTGAGAATAGAGAGGATTTGGAGATCGAGAGCCGTTTTGATTTTGCAGAAATTGAGATGGTGGTGAGATTTTGGGATCAAGAAATGGTAGAAAACCATTTGCACGAAGTGTTTTCAGAATTTGAGATTTCCAGATGATAAAATTGTCTGGAGTAAGAGAAGATGAGACAAGATTGCGAAGATTAGAGACAACAAATTTGAGTGTTGCCGGAATCGTAGGATCATCTGACGAATGGCCGGAGCTTCTTTCTTGAAGGCCGGACGAAGCAGAGTCTGTCATGGCTTAGGATCGTAAGCCGTCGCTGATACCATGAATAATCTATAAGCAGAACGTTATTTTTGTATTTCATGCCTTGTTAGTGAAGACAGACGCCTGCTCTTATATAGAGCCAGGACAGTATTGGTTTAACTATAATTACAAAGAAACCTAAGATTATTCTAGACTTAACAGTTGTAATAAATACAGAATATGCTTATATTCTAATACAATAAATATTCTCGTTCAAAGCTTGCTGGTTGTTCCTTGAGCTTCGTGAGTATGGGAATATTAGATATGAAGAAAAGAAGGGGGAAACTACTCATTCAACTTACTTTTTATTGAGCATACCTCAACCAACCAAATCTCAAATTACAGCTTTAGACAAAATATTTTTTTTTTTCTGCTTTTAAGAGATTTTTTATTAAAAAATATATTTACAAAGCAATAAGAAAATCGTCCCAAATCAAATTTAAATTATTTTAATTTTTCATCACAAAAAATACGGTATACAAACATAATAAAAGGGAAGCTTTGAGTTGGGTTTAACTTAAGTGGGTTGAAGATTTATAAAGAAAAGAGGAAAGAGAGAACATTTTACAAAGAATGTCCCTTTTGCGTGCGAGGAAGGCAATCCAATAAGCATTGATAGAAAATAAAACTGGTCAACCAAACCTTTTGTATGCAACATAGTCAAAATATAAATGGAAGAATATTGAAAACGAACCTTTACCAATAAACTAATAGCTAAATAATAAAGTGAACATCATATAATTAGAATACAGATCATGATTTTGAAACATGTATTACAAGGAAGGCATGATAAGTAGCCAGAGATCTTCCTTTAAAAATAGTAAGAAAATAACGTTTTAAATTGGACTTAGTGCTCTTCCCACCATAGAGGTAGGAGAAGATAAAAACCAATTGCATATGTTACATCTACCTATATTTTATTTGTAATGAATGCTTTCTCCAAGCACAAAAACTAAAACCAATTAATGTAAAGCACAGACTTTCCAACCAAATTCTTTCAAAGTTCATCACTCTACAAATGATGAAGGATCAATGGTACTCCTTGAGAAGGTCTTAAGGACAACAGAATCCTTGGTGAATGAATGTATGTAGGTGAGACCGATAAAGAAAATTTGCGAAGGATGAGACTTAAAACAATCTTGTACTCCATGATTGTTAAGTTTCTTCCTATGCAAATTCTCCCACCAAATCCAAATGGTAAGAACCCCATCCTATGCTTGCATCCTCCATTGATGTTGTCCTTAAATCTCTCTGGCTTGAACTCATTCACATCATCACCCCATAGAGTTGGATCATGGTGCATGCCAACCACATCAATCCACATATTAGTTCCTTTTGGGATAACAATATCTCCGATGACCACATCCTCTCTCGCCTGTCTCTGTACATTCGGTGCCGGCGAGTATAGACGAAGAACCTCATTCCATACCCATCCCATCTGCAAATATATATAAAAAAATGAATTCTAGTAAGTAAAGGTAAATAATTTGAATTAGTTATATATACTATAAATCTGATATTTATTTTATTTGGAAATTTAATGTGATGTCTAAGAGCCAAACATAAAATAAATATGTCAAAATAAGATATTCTTATTAAACCACATTTTTAATTTGATTCGCATTTCAAGAGATAATACAATTATTTCAAATCAGTAAAAAAAACTATGCATCTTGTAGCAAAATATAAAGAGTATATATCCGACAGTAGATTCCAAATGGTGTATATTGCAGTTGAATTAATATTTTTTATTTTCATTCAAATCGGTATATTATTTTAATAATTATTCTCTTAACCACCATACTTATATTGATACAAATTTATTTATCATTATCTCATATGGAGCTCAATCAAGAAAAATAAAGCTCGGGATATCCCCTGAAGTCTGAACTAAGGCACGCGCTTTTATTACTGCATGTTTAAGTTGTAAGATAGTGCTCTCTCAATTTATTTTATTTATCAACTTGTAAATAAAAAAGAAAAGTTAGAGTAGTTCAATGAAAATATATTTTAATTTAAAAAATGGTTAAATAATATATATTGTATTGAAATATGAAAATAAATTAAAATAATTGAGAATATAAATGCTTGGACAGAAAATTTTATAGTAAATTTAATTTTCTAAAAAGAAAAAAAAGTTTTAGTCATCTTAAATTTCATTTAATTTTAAAATTTATATTGCATTTTTTTCTGTTCTTCTTATTCATATTAAACAAACCAAAATATTCTTACAAAATTTTAATTACATTTACTTCGAAATATCTTCATTCAAAAATTTGAAAACATAATTTATTATATTGTGATATAAAAATTTAGTTTTTAAAATAAATATTTGTTTATTTTTATTGAATGTTGTATATATTAGATATCGATTGTGTTTGGTGTCAGCAATAACCTGCTGCTGTTAAAAAACAAAAATAAAAATTAAAGAGTATCATAAGAAAATGAGAAAACTCAAAAACAGCTAAAAAATATAAATCAAATATATCATTTAAAAAAAATAAAAAATGATTTCAAATAGCCCTCTTAGGAGATGCAAGCTTTGTAGACGGTGATACTGATACAATACCTTGGTTAGCCTCACAAGCATATCAGCGCTAAGCGGCTCCCCTTTTGAAACCTCCTCAATCTCCTCTCTTAACGCCTTCTGCCACTCGGGATACAAAGCCAACAACAGAAGCGTCCAACTAAGCGCAAGCGCAGTAGTCTCATGTCCTGCAAAGAAAAATGTCTTGCACTCATCAACCAACTCCCTGCTCGTAAGCTTCCTCTTACTCGTCGGCGCCTTCTCTTCGTTCTCCGCAAACATAAAACCAAGTAAATCCTTCTGATCATTGCTCGCTGGATTCTCCCTTCTCGAGCTTATGATGGTGAGTAGAAGTTGGTCGATTTCTTTGCCAAGTTTCCACGCCTTGTAAGATTGTTTTGGAAATAGAATTTTGCTGAAAGGAACTCCTACGAGGCGATTTGATCGGAAGAGCATGATTTGCATGGCTTGCAGTTTCTCGAATACTTTCTTGCCATTTTCTTGGCTGATGCCGAAGCTGGCTTTGGCTATGATTTCAGCTGCGTTTCTTGTGATGTCATTTTCAACGTCTATCTCATTGATGCCAATGGCGAGACGGTTGCTCCAGGTGTCCAGCATGTTCATGGTTGATTCTACCATCTTCCCCATCATAGACTGCAAAGAATGAAATTATTGATCATCAACAAATTTCATCTACAGTATATATTTTTTTTCCTGCATGTCTTTTTTATTAGATGGCTTGTTATTTTAGGTTGCTTGAGGCACATAACAGGCATATATACAAAGGATGATTGAACTTACGTTCAAATTGTTTGCAGAGAAAGCTCGTGCGATAATATGGCGGTGATGAGTCCAGTCATCTCCCTCAACCATAACCAATCCTTTCCCGAACATAGGCTTCCGGTCATGCTTGAACACATTAGGCTTTCCCCATTTCTTCCCCATGCCTCCTGAGGCCACTTTCTTAAGAAACTCAGGTTCAGCAATGTATAAAAAAGGCTCAGTACCCAGCCAGTATATGAAAACCTTCCCTGTAACATAGAATTCTCTCTTCAATTAATCAATAACATGACTATATATGTATATACACGCCAGACTAAACTGTTTATCTAATAAATTACGGCGAAATTTTCGTTGGATTGTACGCCAGAAACTACCGGCAAAAATTACGCCGGATTAAACTATTTATCTCATAAATTATGAAGGAAAGTATGGCAGATTATACTACGGAAAATAACATGCGTCTTTTATGACGGAACCACCGTCGTATATCACCGTTGAATTTTCCGCCTGTTACCGGCGTATTTTATTCCGTAGGAAGGTCCGAGGATAACCAAAGTTTTCCTTAGTAATAGTTCGCCTAACTTTATAAAGTAATTATTCTTTGATGCTTACCAAATATTTTCCTCCATGTTGCGAAGTAAGGGAAGACAGTGGAGTGGATGTTATGGCTAATACCAAGAGAATTTGATCGATCAACTTTCCTGTACATTTCCATGAGATTTCCCCATGGAAAGCTCGGTCGAGGACCGTCGAAACCGTTAAGGTGCAATCGCCGTCTCGAGCTGGTGGGCGAGAGCCAGAAGAGAGAGAATAATCTACTGAGCAAGTAGATAAGAATGGCTGTCAAGCTCATGTACAAAATCTGATTGGATTGTGATAACTCCATTGAAATAGTAGTCTCTTATCTCTACGTTTGGTAGCGTGAAGGAGAGAGCAATTGTGAGTATTTATAAAAAGAGAGGGCGAGCGAAAGAGGAATGGAGAATGTTGAGGCTTAGTAATTTGCGTTCAACACAGGTAGAATATTGACCTTGGAAACTCGGTAAACGGGAGGAATTTGAATGAGAATACTCGCCAAAGTCGGCTCCGCGGATTAGTTGAAAGCGGGGACTCTTTTGGCTGTAATGTGTACAGGTAGGCTACAGGTGGCAGTGGAATATAGCATAGATGAGCAGGACAAAAGTAGGTACAAAGTTAAATTTGTTCATAACATATATATTTAGATAAAAATTTATAATTTCGTGATCAGAAAATAATTATAATTAAATTGAATTAAGTATCCTAATTCATTTTTTAGGGATAAAATGCTTTGACTAATATTTTATTCAACGTAATTCTTAAATAATACTAATCTTCTAAAAAAAACGTAAAATTAAAATATTTATATATGATCATGATTTATGTGGATAAATTAAGAAAATTGAAATATATGTATATATTTAAGAACTAAATATTTTAAATGTGTATTTCTTTGAGGTTGGCAAAGAATTGAAGCATTAATGATAGTAAAAATGACTAAGGATATGTGGGAGGATTTTTTTTATTGCTATTAAGAATGAGATCCCAAACGAAATCAAATGAGAAATTAATGCTATAGTGCACTGAGAAGCTTGTTTTAATAAATTATACTTTAATTAGTTGCTAACTGTTTGAATCAGTAAAATAGTATTGGCATAGCTAATCCGAACCTGCAGCGATAAGCCGATATCCAAGCGCGTGATATGGGACTTTGTGAATGCCTTTGGCCATTTAAAGCTTATAGCGGAGTGTATGGTGGCGACAATGGATGTTTTTTGGCCGTACTTCTATGTGAACTAGCTCGCAACTTGCACGTAAATTCTATTCACACTTCGGTGAGGGGGGAGAGGAACGATAATCTCTTTTAGTTTCTGTTTTTTAGCTAAAGGAAACTAAGAATAAACTATTTTTCTTATAAATAGAGCTTACCGGTTCTCAAATTAGAAGGCAACGATAATTAATGGCAATGTTTTCATGATACATTCACAACATAGCACCTACTATCTACACCATAATGCTAATTAGTCAGGAGGGAACTAGAAGAGCTCAGGGTGGGCCCCATTTTGAAATTTTTTTTCCTCAGAAAAATAAGTAATTATCCACAAAGAAATATATTTTTTCTTATAAATGATCAAATTTCAGATGAAAAACACTCAAAACCAAGCAGCGAAGGAACCCCGCACCTCCCCAACGAGCATAACAAATTGACTTGAGATTCAGGATAGCATTACAAACCGATTGATCGACTCAATCAGATTCTATGAAGAACAATTTCATTTCTCCTCCATCACAGAGAGGAATTTATAATTAATCATTTTCCCAACATTGTCCTACCCAATCCTTCTAAGAAACTCTGCATCCTTTCTATCGCCAAGTTACTTGCTAACACTAGATTAGACTGGTTGTTCCTATTAAAATTACCGATAAAAGCTCACCCTTGGAAAAAAGCATTAAGACACATGGATGCTAAACTCATGCAATTCACTCGGGTATCTAATGCACAGTCATTTTCAAAATATTTTCACTATAATTTACTCTAAAGTCTTAAATAAAAAAAAAGTTATGTTTCATTAATAAAAAGATGATGGAATTCATGTTCTATGATTCCCTATCAAGTTATTACATGTCATTTAACATAAATGTTTCTTAAGAAATTGAGCCCCCCAGAGCGTTATCACCAAGCTATCACAATCCCTAGATGGAGGAAAGTCAAGGATATTAAATGTGTTCCACTTGATTCAAATAATACGTGGTATATTGTTACGCTACCAATAGAAAAAAAAAACATTAGATTTGAAAGGACATACAAAATATAATGCAATTTTGATGGAACCGCCAGCACACGTAAGGCTCATCTAGTAGACAAAGGGTAAACTCAACATGACTTCTTGGATACTTTTAAGCTCATTGAATTCTTCTCATTAAGATGCTCATTTTAAATATAAGCACACTGATGTTGGAGCTCGCTTGGTTCTTCAATTAATGTCACTAAATTTCTAATCATGCTTCAAGTTTTTGATTCGGGCTCATTTAGAATTGGATCAAATCACTTTTGATATAATTTGATGTCTTATCAAAATACTTATTTCGACAATAAATTTATTGAAATCTAAATTTAGATTGATCTGAGCCATCTTTTATGGTGCATCATATCATGCAATAGGTAATACATTTTCGTCTTCCTCTAATAACCACCTTCTTAAGCTTTGAATATTCTAAGCAAAAGTTTTCAAATTTCAGTTAGAAAATCTAAATCTTAATGTAGACGTAACTAACCTTTGTAAACGGATGAGGTCTCATCCAACCTTCATTTTCTCAGTCTTTATCATTCCTATCTACCTCGCATCCCAATCAAATTAGGACGAATTAGCTATGCTTTACCCATTAATTTCTATCCACGAGTCCTCGTGCCGAGTTGGTACCGTCAAGAATACTCTACTTCTAAAAATAACAACAAATTATCATTAAAGAATAGTTATGCAAATTTAATTTAAACAATCAAAGTTTTTGTTTTCTTAACATCTTCACCATTAAACGAACTTGCCAAATCTCATCAAACAAGGAATCCCAAAAAGGATAAATTATTGTGTAGAGTTCAGACTTGGAGTTACGTTTAGACTCTAATCAAATGACGACATGTGGCTAATACATAATATGTGTTAGATGTGTACACATTGTGTGTAAAATGTATATATTAGTTGTGTATTCATGTGTACTGGTTATATATTAGATGTGTATTGATGTATACTAGATGTGTATTATTGTACACAATGTATACTAGTCAATATATATCTAGTACACATCAATACACAATTTATATACAATATGGACGTAACTCTACGTTCAGACTCCGCACATAATAATTTTTGCAAAAAAGACTTTTTATATAACTGCATCATCTAATCCAAACAGATGTCAATATAAATAAAGTTGATATGCATAACAAATGAGAACAAAATAAAAACTAGTTCTAATTTAGAGCTAAAGCCAATTGATTTAGGATTTGCTTGGGATTTCTAAAACTGTTAAAGAAAAAAGTATATTTTAAAAAAGATCCTTAAAAATAATTTTTTAGTATTTTTTTTAAAACAATGAAAAAATAATAACCGATTATTCTCTAAAAAATAAAATAGTAAAAAAAACTAAAAAAGTACAAAATTAACAAAACTTTAATTAGTGTTTTTTTTTTTTGTTAATGCATGATTGCTGAGCTTTTCTTCCATGATATACTCGTACAGAGTTGGTTGTTACCAACGCTTCATGAAATTAATAAGTAATTATTAGTAGGTATATGCGCGTATTTGGATTTGTTCATAATGTTGTTTGAAAATATATATTCAACTGCTCTGTACTATTAATATATAAATTATTGAGAATTAAAGTACATTTTAAAATAAAAATATTAGTGAGCTCGTGCATTAATTACACATGCCACTGCAATCAGATAATTGAAAATTTAAAATAAAAATAGTTTAAAGCCAACAAATTACAGGCAGGGATCAAGATCTCACTAGGCTTCTTTGGGACAGTTTTTATATTTTTTTAAATAACTTTTTTTAATAATAAATGTTTGCATTACAAAACTACTTTAGAAAATAATAAGAAAGTTCTCTCAAATAAGACTTTTTATTATATGAAAAGTAAAAAGGATAGACGAGTTCCGCCGAAATACAACAGCTCACATGCTCACGATCAGCACCGTCCACCTGTAACAAAAGAATTAAATCACAGCCACACAGGTATACACAAGAGCAGTATAAATATGGATGTACAGTAGACACTAATTAAGAGTGTGAAAATTAGTCAGATTAAGACTTTAATACACTGCAGCTTTCTCATCATTTATGGCAACCATTGATGTGGTTTTTTCGGGTTGGTTCGTGTTGGTTGCTTTCTCCACCTTTTGGACGGTCCTGGTGTGGTGTCAGTGGTGCTGGAAGACTCAACCATTTTCTGAGCCCGCATTTTATTGTATTTTTTCTTGTTAATTTTTTTCCTTGCTTTTTCTTTTTGTAACCGTGGTTTTTGGTATTAATAGATTGTTTGTTTTTTCAAAAAAATAAAAAAATTCTTCTATCGTTTCCTAGCTTTCCATTTCTTTAAAAAGACTATAGGAGACATCTATTATTAAACTTTACATTTTCTTACGAGTTTAATACAATGAATAAAAATCAAGATATATTTTAGTCACAAAAATATATGGAACAAATGATTTCAACCAAATTATCTCGATTACTAATTGTCAATTAACGATTAAAAGGAATCAAATGTAACAAAACTTTTCATAAATTAATGCCTCTAATATAATGAAGACTAGACATCAACTAATAATTTTGACATCCAAGCCACACAATTGCATCAAGATTTGTACAAGGCAAAAGCTAAAGTATCCAAGATATATTCAATCGGCCACCGCCACCAACAACCTCATAACCTCTAGCCGACACCTCTACCTACCACCTTTGATTAGCGTCGACCACCACTAATAGCCACCGTTTCTAGCGGCTACCTCCGATCATTGTCCGTCCACAATATTCCAGTAATGTCAAGACCTTTTGTTAAAGATTTCATGGGTGACAACAAGGATGAGAAAATAAAACATTGAGAAAACATGAAGGTTTTTCATTGGGCTTAATCCATACAGTTTACAATGGATAAGAGATGGAATTAATGACGTCATAAACAATTTTTTTTCATCACATGCACTTTTTATGACAATTATTTGTAGTTGATATATATTTACCGCAAATTATTACTTTGCAATAAATTATTACAAAAAATTTCTGTCACAAAACACTGATGCCACAAAATCTATGTGACGAATCTTATTATGACGA